TCGGTTTGGCATACTCAAAATGAGTTCATACAAATCACGCTGTGGAATGGCCGCCCATGTTCGTTGCAACAACAAAAAAAGGTCTTCTTGCGACTGGATACCCTCCATATTCGGCAGAGCTCTTCTCTGTAGCATATCCCATGCATGCTCAATCGGGTTCAAGTCTGGCGACTGAGCAGGCCAGGGCAGGACATTGATGTTAGCTGCGGCGAGAGTCTGTCTTACAACTCTTGCGGTGTGCGGTCGTGCATTATCATGCATTAACTGAAATAAGGGACCGATTTGCACTTGTAGAGGAACGATGACGTCTGATACAATCGTCGTATCGTACTTCTGCCCAATTTCTGTGTTCAAGAGCCCATTGATATCGAATCCTACGATTGTGCATTGCTATAGGTGGTACCCGTAGCGGTCTTCGGGAATGAAGATTCACTTCATGCAAGCGGTTTCTGACTGTTTGGTCGCTAATTAAGTTCCCTGAAGAGTGATGAAGCCTCACGGCTAACATCATGGCGGTTATTGTTGGAGCTCTTCGAGTTAAGATTTGAATGTATCGGTCTTGTCTCCGTGTGGTGCAGCGATACCGTCCTCCATGGCGCTCAGCCACGGTACCAGTGCTTCGGTATCGTGTCCAAAGTCGACTGATAACACTCTGACTTGTATTCAGAGCTAAAGCCACAGTACGTTGCCGGGAACCAGCTTCTATCATTCCCACGGCTCTGAGCATTTCTTCCCTGCTTAAATGACGTCGCCGCTCCATAATAACGTTGGTTTTAATCAGTAGTAGGGAAACAGTAGCACTAATAATGTCTTCAATGCGTTGTATGTTTTTATAGGGAAAATATTGACAGCTGATTTTCATCTTTTACTCGAATTTGATTCACAGTTCCTGATTCAAATTATGAAATGCACCAAAAAGGATCCATATAAATTTATAAAATCATAAATTTATTACAAAGTCACATCTCAATCTCAAGAAATCCGCATAAAAATACTTGATCCCTAGACACTTTTGATGTGTGTAGTTATATTTTCTTTAGATTTAAACATCAAGCAGTTACAAGCTTAAAAAATAAAAATTATAAGAAAATGTAATCTTAGTTTCACATTATCATTTGGATCAAAGACCAGACCAGATGACAAACGTACCATTTATCAAAGTACAAGTATAAGTAGTAAGTTAAGGTAGTAAAGTAGTAATAGTTAAATATAAACAAATAAAACTTATTCCAAATTAGCGAGCTAATTACTTAAGTGAACGGAAGGAAGACCGCTTAAGTATCAACCGCGGCTTATTACGATGCACCGACACTAAGACCAAGCTGCCACGTTTTGCCTACGTTTTTTCTTTTGCTTTTTATTAAAATTATATAAAACAAAATGCTTTTTTTCGATCCTCCGGCTAGAACAAACATTAGTAGCTCATACGAAAGAAAGTTATCGTAATAACAATAAATAATAAAATTTTAGTATCTGCAGTGTTGTAGCATCTTTTCTTTATTTCCCAGTTCTAATATTATTAGCAACAGAAAAAACTAAAATTATTAGGTAACTTTTGGATTTATTTAGTGCCTTAAAGTTGTATTACTATAAAGGAGACTAGAACAGAAAATTATACTAGAAAAACCATTCCATTCCATCCCAGTAGGGCGATTTTGTAAAATAAAATCTCACATCCGATTTCGGTAGCTGCCATTTTAGACACTAGTTTCATACGCATTAAGCCATTACACGGCAAAATGTCACTATGTCTCTAGAAACAGCCAGTAGAGTCTGTGTGGAAAGAGAATGGGCGTGGCAAAAAACGGAACTAACATTAAGATTTGGCAATCAAACCCAGCAATCTGTAAAACATCAAAGTGTTGTATTGGTACGGATGTGTTTATTGTTTCTTACGGTATTTTGTATTTAATCATGTCTAAAAGGGGTAATCCCTTACAAATACGGTAGAAAAGCACTACAGCGCCCTCCAATCTAAATCCCATTCTCTTTCCGCACAGACTCTATTACATTTTTGACATTTGTCAGAAATCCGAATAAATCAGATCGTAAATGAGAATGCATCTTACAGAATATCTATGCTGGTGTCAGGCCGGATTCGAACCAACACCGTTCGCTATCCGGATGAAAGACGAACCGCTATACTACCGAAATACTGAAATCTTGGTTTTGTTGAAGCCTCACACAGTAATTTTTTTTATAGATAGGTCCGACAAATGATTCCACCCCACCTGATGTTAAGTGACGGTGAAGATCAGTTATAACCTGTTTTTTAATGCATAAAAGGCAAGGCGTTTGACCACTATCTTGCCTGATGAAAAGCGATGATGAGGCCTAGGATGGTACACGCCTGCCTAGAAGATGCCCGTTCACTCTGGCCTTGAAGATGTCCAGATTATATTGATCCGGGAAAACAGAAATATAATAATAAATATAATCCTTATATCTGAAAGCAGTTCGATAAAGAAAAATGGTTAATAATCTAATCATAGTTTCTAATCCAATGTGCGTTAAACGTCGCATCATTATACGTAATCATCTATGTATGGTACATTTCCTTGTATCACTAATTATACTTAGATGATTAGATTCAGGATCTCAATTTAGATAAAAGCAGTCAGTGATCTATATTTTATCGCTTTTAGTTTTAATTTGTTCTCTTCATATAAGTATGATTTCAATTAGAGATATAAATTACTAGTGAGAGCCCGCGACTTAGTCTGTGTGGAAATATTAGTTTCCTATACAAACTTTGAATCCTCGTTTTACCCTTTTATGGGGTGAGTTTTGGAAATTCCTTCTAAGCGCATGCTATACAGAGCGTCTTAAATATAAAAGTATCTTAAATATTAAAGATCGGGGGGCACAGCAGTGCCCCCACCAAGTCGAGCGCGAAGCAAACACTGTACCATCCTTTACTGGAACCATTACGCCGCATTTTCAGGCCCCTATTGGAGAACCTCTGGATAAGACCAGAACGCTGAAATTTTCGTCATCCAGTAAGCTATAATAACATAATTAAAATCCAAAATTTCAAGTCTGATGGTCATTTAGTTCCGAAGTTAAACGAAAGCAAAGTTCGCATTTACGACACTAGTACTTCCCATAAACTCAGAGAGCTGATATTTGGTACAGAGTTAGGGTTTAATGGCCACATAAAAGGAAAACTATAAAAACTAGGATAATCGAAGATCTGGAGTACTTGGTGACCCTGATTAGAAAACACAAGAGCCCAACCAAACTATTAGAAGAGATCGACATACCGCCTTTACAAAAAATATTCAACAAAACCAGGTGCTACATTACATGTAAACGCAACTTTATCAAGCCTACAATTGACTGGTTATTCAATCAACGTTTTCCAAGTGGCAATTTTCCATCGTCAATAGGTAGCGGTTCTGGCGACAGATTGGTGCAATAGTGTCATGTAGCACCTGGTTTTGTACCCTTGTGTACCCTTCAACGGCCAAGTCACACAACATTAACTATAATAATAAAGAAATCACAGTAAGGAACCTTAGACTTGGCATGACTTTGTCTGGATTTAATTACTTTTTAGAGATAAACAAGCAGCTCCATCGAGACTTGGCTAGTTTTTTACAGATTTTTTTTGGTGGGATATGAGATTTAACTGAAAGAAGACATCATTTTATTTTTGATAATAAATAGAACTGCATTAACAGAGCTTTTGAAAATTGCCTGCCACAGCCAGGAATGAAACTTCTGTAATCTGAAAAAATACACACGACGTATTTTATGATAAGGGTAAGCAAGAGAATGCCTTAGAGAAAAATTTAAAGAAATTAATATTTTAACAGTGGCATCGCAATACATTTATGAAAATATAATATATGTAAGAAAAAACTATGACGCATTTGCAAAAAAAGTCAAACCCATAACTTTAACACGAGATTTAAGAACAAGCTTGCCGTTCCATGTTTCAGACTCCAAAAATCAAGAGGTTCATTTCTGGGAATGCGGTATTGCATTGTTTAACAAAGTTCCCCAAGATCTGATTGAGCTTCCACTAACCAAATTTAAATCTCAGATCAAGAATTCTCTTATGAAAAAGGGTTATTATAAAGTTAATGAATATCTAAATGATCGTAATGCATGTACATAGTGTTTCTTGTAATTTGTTATTTGATGGGTATTAGTCAGTTTTTGTAACATTAATATGGTACCTATCTAATACCGCTTCCTATTACTAATTAAAAAAATCATTGTAACTGTATATATCTATATCCTAAATGATGTAATGGAAGGTGACTTCAGAATTATCTCTGAAGTCATTTTTCAACTTCACGACTCTGTGTATATCAATACAGGGAGAAAAAAGCAGCCCTTGCTGAGTTTCTTGCCGGTTCTTCTCAGTACAAGGTCTCCCACCGGAGTTTTGCGAACCGATGGCGAAGCTTCTGACCTTCACAAGTGCTTGTAACAGCCTAGACTGAATTTTTCATTTCATTTCATTATTTTTGTCTAAATAACATAGCATTTAAAATGAGAGGAAGACAATGAAAATATTGTTCTGGAAAATTTCTTCTGACTTTTCCATGCTTCCAACAACTAACATTATCCACATATACCTACTCGCTTAATAATACAAGGTTTCCTAATTATAAGTAGGTACGTGCACCGTTAAGCGGAAGGAAGGAGCAGATGTCCGTCGCGAAGATCCACTCAGTGCTCCGGTGCAGGACCCGTTCAACCCATCGCGGGACCCGCGAGAGGCAGGTTGGCCGCCAGTACAATTTCGAACAATCGATAACGGATTTCCTAGTTAAAAAAGAACGCAGATGAGAGCACAGAAGGCAGTCAATTGAGCGTTCACCGTCACCCACGAGACGGGCCCCGTCTAAACGTCCCGGGCTAAACCGCCCGCGCCGCGTAAGGCTATGACACGCCGAGAGCGCTCGCCCTTAAATTGATTAAAAAAAACTTGGGCATCCTTCAATCTCCCTTTACGTCTAGATTGGCAAAAAAAGAAAACTTTATCGTTAAAGATAATGTTATAATTTGCAATAAAATAATATTGTGACTATAAATTGAAATGTAAGCTATCCTATCTTTCAAGATGGATCAAACTCCACACAGTGTGCAAATTTGATTAACAAACAAACAACGTGGTGCCTAATTTATAAATATTAAGAAGATTTAGATAATAATAAACATGAGTATTCGTACCAAATTTTAAGTCAATTAACTCAAAGATTTTTCATACAAACTTTGATTCCCTATTTTACCCTCCTAACCAAAGAGAGTTAAAAAGGGGATCAAAGTTTGGGGTAGATTTTCGAAAAATCCTGATACACTTATTCTTTATTTCTGGTCTTTAGTAAAAATACCAAGTTTCGAGTTAATCGAAATGCGCATTAAAAATCAGCCATATAAAGCTCTGAACCCTCCCAATCCCCTTTTAGGGGGTAGTTTAAAAAACTGAAAATGACTTACTTTAATATTTATTTAGATACTCGTGGCAAGTTTCAAGACTCAAGGAATAAGATTTTCCATACAAATTTTTATCCCCTTTTTACCATCTTAGACAGATTTTTATCCCTTATTTGAATGAAACTCTTCGGGGGTGAATTTTGAAAAATCTTGTCTTAGTGCACCCCTGAACCTTATAAAGAACATACGAGCCTTTGGAGTCTCTAGACCTAGTGGTTTGGGCTGTGCATTGACTCTCAGTCAGTAACAAAAGGCCTTCTTTTATACATATATTCCGATACAGATGATTATGCACAGCAGGTACAAGATCCCTCTTTTAATTTTGGGAGATGATAGAGTAATGCATGTTAGTATCACTGCATTGCAGACTAATATTCTATGATATTTTTTTAAATAGAATACAGTAATTTCTTAATCAAGAGACTATGCCAAAAAAAACTGTCGATATGATTTTATCAGATTTTTGAGCATCGATCCAGTGACTAGATTGATCTTGATAGACTATTATTTTTAATGACATACAGTTGTAGTATGATTATGTTTTTATTTTAGCAGTAGTTGGAATTTCACAAACTCTTTCATCGGTTTCAATATTTGTTTTCAGGATTTATTTAAGAAGGAATTTTAAAATAATTATACATCGATTTATAAATATAACTATTGTAATATATTCATTATTATCAGAGGTCACAAGCACATAATTTTTTTCTTCGCTATGTAAATCAATCTGGCATCTTCACAAAACAGCAGAGTTAAAATTGTAGTAGCACAATATTATATAAATAAACATACATATTGACAGTGGAAAAGCAAAATCGCTTATACGCCACTTTGGTACTGCTTAAAAATAACATTAAATGAAAATGTTTTTAAGCAGCACCAAAGTGGCGTATAAGCAATTTTGCTTTTCCACTGTCGATATATATTGATATAGAAATTTATATTCAATAACAAAATAAATATGCAACAGTAGATAGCCTTAAGTTTCATGTTTTAAGAGAAATGTGAAATTTGAATGCATCTGTCATTGTTTTAACAAAGTGTATCATTTAATAAGGATAGCGTCTTCTGGTGTTGACACGGTATCGTCCAGATCTGTAACAAAATATTATCAAATATTAATAGTGATATATTTTACTTTTGACTCATATCTGTGGAAGCAAAATTCGTCGTTCTAGGTCCAAGCTAATAAAGTTTTCATATTTGGGAATTACACTGCCACTATATCGTAATATGATTGACAGTGTAATATGCCGTATCGCAGTACCGTCGCGTCGGTACGACTTGTAATACTGCGATCCTAGTATCACAATAATAATTATCAATATAATACACGCTTGTAAACTTTAAACCACATTTAAATAAAGAATCTAAACTCCTTACTGTTTTTTCAATAAAAAATAAGTGGGCAGAAAATATACTTCCTAAGCATACAAGTTAAAGTAGGTATAAAATAAAGAACCAACATGAAGCTATAAATATTATGACAATACTATGACTAAGTATCCTTAGGACTTGTCACAAATACTGACCCATTTTTCTTCAATTCGTTATTGCCCATCCTGAGTCTGTCGCCGCGACAGAGGTTCAACGTCATCTGCATCACGTTCGAGCAACGTCTGCCCTCCAAATGATTGTAGGACACCGAAGCGGCGAAGATCCTCCAAGCGCGGTTGTGAGAGCAGATACTGGAGGTCCAGCAGCCAGGCTGGTTGTTTCCACCGTTGGGGAAGAAGTCAACATCGCCGATGCGAAGGCCGAGACCAAGACTTAACTCCACCAAGCCACCGTCGGTGTGTATGCCTTCGACGTACACCGCGTCGCTCGATTGGATTCTGTTGGAATTCAAGTTCCATAGAGGCCCAGCGGGGTCCAACGCTGTAATACAAATTAAAAGTAACGATGGTAATCAAATTCATACTTCCAGAACGATTTCAGAATTACAAGGCAAATAACACAATTGAATGGAATATCGTAGATAACTTTTCAAAACTGCACATTCTTTTTATATAGGGTGGTCCAACTAGTGACGTCAACAAATTTTTTTTAGATTCCGAGCACCTGTGGGTGTCCGAAAATACCCCATATATGTTCCGCGATTTTTCTTAGTTTTCAAGTTATATTTTTTTTGTGAATTTTTAATGATTGCTGCCAGGGAGGTTTCAAAAATTCATATCTTTTTTTGTAGTAGGTATTTTGCAGTCTTTTTTTGTGACACAATTGTCTTGAATGTTGTTTTAATAAAAAAAAACTCAGCCTCCTGAAATTACTTAAAGTTACTCAAAAAGGCTTGAAAGTTGGAACTTTAGTTTTTAGTAAGATTTACTCAAATATTCAACTTCAGTTTAAAAATACAAAACATCCATGCTTCTGGCTAAAATTTAAAAACTCCGCATGATTCAAAACTACCAAAAAACAATTTACCTGTGTTGGGTACTTAACAATAATTTTTGTTTGCAGAAGGGGACCATGCGTACCACATTCAGCGCGTCCGGCAGCTCCAAGAGTCTGATTACCCGAGAAGAATGGCTTTTTGTCAAACAATGTTGCAACGATCTGAAGAAGACCCTTATTTTTTTAACAAAATACTGTGGACCGATGAGTCTCGATTTGAAAGGACTGGAGTATTCAATGAGGAGGAGGAGGGCCATAGAAAACCCACATTTGGCAAGGGCGTCAAATTTTCAAACACGCTTTAGTGTCAACCTTTGGTCTGGGGTCCTAAATGGAGAATTAATTGGCCCCTTTTAATTGCCGGCCAGGTTGGATGGAAACAGTTACTAATTGCTTTTACAAAATAATTTTATAGGATTGTCAGAAGATGTCAATCTCCAGACACGACAAAGGATGATTTTCCATAAAGATGGCGCGCCCTGTCACTATGCGGTATAAGTAAGAAAGCATTTGAACACCACCTATCCCGAAAGGTGGATCGCACGTTTGCTAGACCTCATCGATTTTTTTATTTGGGGATTTTATAAAGAGCTAGTGTACGCGACGGAAAGCAACAGCGAAGAAAAATTGAGAGAAAAGAAAGAAAAAGAAAGAAAGAATATTCAAGTAGCTATAGACAATTAAAACATAACTTTTTAAGACGTTGTCAATTGTGTAATCAGGTTGGAGGAATGAGATTTGAAAATTTTATATTTTATAAATACGAATTTCTCAGTAATTTGTGCGTTTTTTTATTATCATAAAACAGGTAATTTCCCAACTAGCCATTTTAATTTTATTCCTGAGCAAGATTTTAAATATTAGTGGTGAAACGGAAAATATTATAAAATTACACATGCTAAAGTTATTTTACAGAAATTTCAATTAAATTTAATTTGAAATTACGTTTTTAAGTTTAATTTACCATAACAATGATAAAAAGTAGATAAAGGTAGCTTTCCAATTACAGAATTATAGCGCATTATGTGGCATAATGCTTAACGTTGAGTGTTCCAACTACAGCAACGCTTTGCACAATTGAGCACTCTCAAAAGTGATGCTTTCGTGTGATGCGTGCAATCGTACCAACTTAGAGACAGAAAATTAACAAGTGTTTTTTCTTTTAAGTTGGCATTGATCGAAATGTTTTATTTATTATGTTATCGTTGGTAATATTATTTATTGTTGAAAAATTATTAAAACTTTCGTTTCATCATAGTTTTTTTTAAATAATCAAAGTTAATTCAAACTGTGTTAAAAATTAAATATAAATATGGATGAAGGTACAAACATTGACTTTTTTTTCAACACTGAACTTAGCGCACTCTGCTGGTGCATTTGAAAACTAATTCACGTTCCAATTAAGCATCAGCATAATTCGGCATTGTGCGGCACTGAGTCGCATTATGTTCTGTAATTGGAAAGCAACCAAAATAATTTTAAATGCTTTAATCGTGTTTCAATGATTTTTAATCTATCCGCCTTCGAAGACCAATTACAACAAAAATAGGCTGATTAAGTACTATTTTTTTTATAAATACTTACTACGAAAAAAGATATGAATTTTTGAAACCTCGCAGGCAGCAATCATTAAAAAAATTTAGGAATCGTTTTAAGCAGCATACACTTGCATGATTCACAATATAGCATATTTTACCAGTTTTTATAGGTAGATTTTCATTGGTTTTTGAAAATATATAAAATCAATTTATCGGTTATTGAACTACGGGAGCTAGATTTATATTATTTAGATTATTGCGAGACATTGAATTTGTTTATCTAAATGCATTACCGGCGATCTAGTCAGTGGGATTGACGCTCACACTTGTATGATCCACAATATAGCATATTTTTTATATCAATGAGCAAGTATGTAATCTGGACCATACATTTGTTTAATTCAAGTACCCAGAATATAACTGTAATAGCTATACATGATGCTATCATCTTGTTATATATGTCAATTTTCCACTTTTGGGAATGTTTTTATCCAGAAAAAGTTCCCAAAAGTTTATTGCACGAAATAATAAATAATACTTTACTATAAAATATTATTAGAATAAGTTCACTTATTACCTAAGTTTATAATAAAACACGTACCGGTGATGCGAGCAACTTTTCCTTCAAGTTCCCTTCCGGCGTTCCCGACGAGATGAGCTCCTAAACTGAAGCCGATCAAGTGGACATTGTCCAAAGAGAGTCCAGCTCTGGAGTTGAGAAAGCCCACGAAGCGTCCCAATCTACGACCCACCGTGGGAACACCACGGAACGAAGTAATGTAGTTACGTCTGGCCAGACGACTCCAGTCAAGAACGATTACGTTGCAATCATCGGCGGAAAGTAAAGCTGTGGAAAAATAAACCATATTACTTTCAGATACCTTGCAATTGATCAACTATTATTATGATCCAAAATACGAATAATATGTTCTGAAACCAAAGAGTAAGCACCTTAGTAGTAAGCTTTATCTATCCTCCCACGTTTATATCCACCATCCATGTAAAGAATCGCAACAGGTGATTTTTTTCACAGAATGTGTATAGATATCTATTGCTGCTATTACGACAAATAAATAAAATCAAATTTAATTAAAATTAGACACGGCACTTACAAGAAATTGTTTTTTATCTTTCTCAACATAATGTTAAATCTTGTAAAATAGTAGGTACTTGTAATAGTAGGTAGGAGGTTCTATAGCAATCTGAACCTGACAACTATAGTTGTGAGTTTAATTGTCAATATAATAAATAAGTAGTGTAATTAAAATAGAGTGGGTGTAACGGTGAGTAAGAATAAAAGAGTTTATTACCAGTTACGATGGCTCTGTTCAAACCACTTTCTTCATTATTGAGCCATCCATGAGCTACGACTGCAGTTTTTTTACTGGCGTCGAAGTTAGACTCGGATATGGAAGCAGCGATACCGTGGGTAATTTCTTGGCCGTTTTCTGGATTACTCCTATCAGACAGTGATACATTTTTACTTGTTTCTTAAACTTATATGCTCGCAAATTATTTAATTTAATTAAGCATGAAGCATATTTGTCTATTTTGGTCTCGATAGTATAGCGGCTAGTGCATTCGCCTAGATAGCAAAAGTCGCAGCCGAATGGAATTATTGTATAAAAAAAATCTTTAGAATTATTTAGCATATTATGTAACATGTCAATGGTAGTTAAGACAACTTTTAAAGTTTTAGACAATTTTTATTCTGGTCACAACACTCCGACATTGTTAATCTTTTTATTATTTTTGGAAAATTCATTTGCAATAAGCAATACAAAATACTTACAGATTTACAACTACGTACCTGGTGAACAAAACATATCTGTTGATATCATTTTGTTCTAGTTCCTCCAAGAAGTCCTCATCAGGCTCTTCCTCTGAGTCAATGACTTGCTCTACGCCAGCTTCATCAATGAAGGGAATTAACTGTGTCTTAGACACTTGGGTTTCCTTGTCTAACAAAGGTACTGCCGATACGCAGCAAGCTGAAACAAAATAAGTAGGTATTTGATAAATTACTCCATTCAAATAAAATTTAACTAGAAAAATTCAACTAGCCTAAACAATCAGGCTCGATTTTGTGTTGTAAATTTTTATTAAGATATTGAATACGAACAGTTTATTGCATATACACATAAAGATAAATAATAAAAATAATAATCACTTTATAATTTTTTACCTTTATTTATTTTCAAAATAAAATGTATAGCCATTTTTTCTTCAATGGTTTACAATTTATAACTAATGTTATAAAAATTAATTAAAATTACATACTTAATAAGCATATCACACGCTGGTTTTATAGTTTTACAGTTTACTTAAGCTAGTTCAAAATAGTTGGCTGTTTAACATAAAAATATTGATGCTCCTATTGTCAAAAATATAAAAAGTATTCTCTTAAATATCTTATATTAAGTACTAAGTAATAGGCTTTACGTTTAAATAAAGAACGAAATGGACTTACCCGCTATCACGGCAAGGAGAGACAATGTTAATTTCATTGTATACTTCCTATGGTCCGTACACCACTTACAATATGCCTTTTTACACCAATATTTATAAGAACTTGATTTGGTGAAAAGGTATAAGAATCTTATCATTTAGATTGAAATCAAAATGTGCGATTATTGATTTGCGTAAAACAATCGCACCATTATATCATTGGAGCGTCAGGAAAGATAATTACAGTTAAATTTGATCATTTATTAGATAACGTGATTCTAATATTTCTATGCCCACCAAAACCTGAAATTTAAGGCGTGTTTATGATATTTTACTTATACGTTTCTGATCCACGTTTAGGCTATGATATATCAATGCAAACTATACGGAATTATCTAGTCAGGTAGTGTTCACACACAAGTTTTTAGAACTCAAACTGATTGTGAGTACTACGTATGCTTAGTGGTAAAGCATTCCACAGGCGTAGGGCAGTAATAGTGAAAGATTTGGATCTAAAACGAACGCACGAGCAAAGATCACGTTGATTGGAAGTGCCCAGAAATTGAAATCTAGATTTATTTATTTATTCTAGAGCACATGGATCGTATAAAAGCTTGAAGAGCATGCAAAGTAATCTAAGGTTTCTTCTTCTTCGGCCATTGATAGGCAACTATTCAAGTGGATTCGTAAAGGGAGAAATGTGGTCGTATTTACGTAATCCGAAAACAAAGCAAATACCGCTGTTGACCAAACGATCCAATTGGATAAGGTTTTAAGTGATGTTAGAACAGCAGATGTCAGCATAGACGAGAATAGGGAGAATAAGAGATTGGACGAGTGCGACTTTGGAACAGGTAGGGAGAAAGTGCTATAGACGATAAAGTGCTCGAAGTGTGTTGATCGCCGTACGATTAACTTCTTGAACATGCACTTCCCAGCTGAGAGTAGCATCGATAAATAAGCCTAGATTCCAAACGCTAGGAAGATACTGGATAATATTACCATTGTACATTACCGGATTTAAGTTACTCAGATCAAGCGTAGCCAATTGCCAATATAAAACTAGCTAAAATAATAGCCTGGCATTTCGACGGGTTTACAAAGATACCATAAGACATGGAACAATCGCTAATTTTTTGTAGGTCTTGGTTTAAGCGTATGATAGCAGCGTCTAAGTTATGCTTATCAGCTTAAACATAGAGTTGGAGATCGTCAGAATACACATGGTAAGAGGATAGAATTAGAGTAGTGAGGAAATTAATAAAAAGTGAAAAAAGCAGAGGGAGAAAGAATACCGCCCTGCGGAACACCAGCAGAGATATAGGCCTAGCTCAAAATAGTCTGACCAATTCGAACAGCCTGCTGGCATCCACAAAGATACGAAGAGAACAGGTTCTCGCCAAAAAAGAGGCTCCCATGTGAGTAAGGATTGCAAGGAGACTGTCGTAGTTGACCATGTTGAATGCATTTGTTTCCTCGGTTTTCACGCATGATGTAATGAAATTATTTATGTATGACGTTTCGCATCATTTGCAGGAATGCGTCGTAAGAATTATGCGTCGTCATTATTCTGACGACGCATTCCTGCAAAGGATGCGAATCGTCATAAATTTATAAATTCAGTACATCTAACCCGTTGGAACTTGTTTATTCATATTGAATGCTTTAGAAAAATCGACCAAGACCATTCTTCTCAACTGCGATTTCTCTATGCCACTCCGAACGTCGTCTAGAACTTTAAGGAGAGCAGTGACAGGGTCGAAACCCAGATCGTAGAGGATTAAGAATCTTATGGCGAAAGAGAAAAGAAGAGAATTGGTTATATACAGCAGTTTCTAAAATCTTACAGAGAAAAGGTAATATTGATATGGGCCTATAGTGGAGTAAGAGTATGGTAAGGTATTTTGAGTCACCGTTAATGGAGTTAAAATCATTCTGGGAGCTGCGTATCGTCCTTTCTCCACACAAAAAATTCACAGACTTTGAATTGCTTCTCAATTCACTTGCTACTGACTACACAAACCACATAGTCCTGGGCGACTTTAACACTGACCTTCTAAAAGATAGCGCGCAGTCTCGTTAGTTTCGATCCTTAATTCAGTCGATTAACTTCTCAATTCTTCACCTTGAACCAACCCACCATAATCATACCACTTCGGACTCATGGATCGATCACATTTTAAAACTTTATCATGATCGTGTCATTAAACATGACCAACTTCCGGCATCCGGTTTCTCCATTTTTTCCTAGCACATAAAGCTAAACCTCCAAAACCTAAGCCTCAAATAGTCCGAATACGAAGCTTTTTGCGACTGCATGCGGAGAAATTGAAAAGTGACGCGTATAGTATAGACTTAAAACCTTTTTGCGAGGCAGCTATCATTGATAATATGGTCTTTTATTTTAGTAATGCTATCATGAGACTTTTTGACAGTCATACATCTAAAAAGTGCGTCAAATTGAACCGCCCGCCTGCGCCGAGGATTACTGCTGGTATTTGCATGGCAATGCGGAAGCGTAATAAGTGCTTTCGTAGGTACAAACGGTGCCGCACTGATTACAATTCGGATGATTTTAAAACTACCAGCAATCTCTGCAATTAGATGGTGAGAGCTGCTAAACGCCAGTACATTCATCAGAATATTTTGAATTCAATTCAAGCCAATACATGGGAATTTCTACGATCTCTCGGTTTCGGTAAATCCTCTCCTAAACATATCTCTTCTGTTTCACCTGATGACCATAATAAGCATTTCTCGTCTGTCCCTTTCTCTCCCGACTTCAGTTACTCATTCTACAGTTTCAGCTATTACTTCCATGGCACCTTCTACAAACGATTCTTTCGATTCTCTGACTGAAGAGGAGGTTAGTAAGATCGTGCTCTCTATAAAATCCAAAGCAGTGGGTTGTGATGACATTGGGAGGGCTATGATTATGTTGTGCCGTTGTGTTGTTCCGCCGTGTAGTGCCGGCCTAGAATAGAATAGCACTACCCCCTCTCATCCCGTGGGTGTCGTAAGAGGCGACTAAGGGAAACTTCACTTCACCTATAATGTTTTATGTTATGGGAATATATGTTTTACTGAAGTATTGAGATCTCAAGAATCGTCGATAGTATCATTAATAGAAACGTAGGAAGAATTAAGTCTGACATACGATATCAATATGAATAAATGAAGTCCGTGAATATAATTGAGAAAAGGCATCGTCAAAAGTGTCTTCTACTCAGTGGTGTGCCACAATTAGCTGACAGTGATCTGACAACTGATGGCATTACGCTACTGCAGAAACATTTCGGTATTGCTGATATCACCAGCGATAACATCAAGTCTACAAGTTGGGCCATCTCTCTGAAGGACGTTCTCGCCCTATTGTTATAAAATTTTCCTTTTCTAATATCAGGTCACTAGTGTGGAAGAGAAAGACAAAGCTGAAGGGTTCCTCCTTAGTCGTACATGATTTTTTGACAAGGAATCGGCAAGCTGCTTTCAAGAGTGCAAGAGAATACTTCGGCATAAGTAATATGTGGACGTTAAATGGTCTCATTTCAATTTTAACTCCCTGCGGCGCCAGAGTACGTTTCGTCTCGTTAGATGAACTCGGCATGATCACTGTCAAGTTTCCTAAGCTGTTCCCTATTGCTGCTGCCATTGTACCGGAGGCGGACAACACTCTTGTTGCTGTTGCTGCTGCTGTGCCTGAAGGTGGACAATGCTCAGTCTTCTAAAACAGTGCAGACAATACCGAAGCGTGTCAATAGGAACGCCAGGTAACCTATTTAGTCTCCTTGAAGAAGGTGCACGATCTGATTCATACTATTTACATTAGCACTATGTCCAGTTTTAGTATTATTGTTATTATGCATAATGCAGGCAAGTAGCTGAGTTTAATGCCTCTAATATTCTATTAGTTTTTATTAACGTTGGTATCTTTTTTTGTTTTTTATCGTTGACAAAGTTTTAGGTTAAATTAATTTTCACTTAATTTTCGTGTGACAATGACAGCTGCATAATTTTTAATTTTAATTCTTGTGCCAGAAAGGACATAACATTTATTCAGCCTTGTCATATATTTTATGTATTGTGATGTTGGGATCGTGGACGCAGTGTAGTCCCTCAACGGGGATCCACACTTAACAGCGTCGAGGGTATTTGCAGGGTTTTTAGCGGATAGTATGCCGCAAGCGGTCGTCAGCAGCGCGGACGGCTTAACGGCTTTTACGTTTTGCACTCGTGAGACTTGCGAGAGGCTAGGTGTGAGTCCAGGGAAGGTTTAAATGGTGTGAAAATATGGAAAAATTGCGAGGAAGATAGTAAAAACAACTATTTCTTTTTCCATATAAACTGTTCTGTCTAGGTACCTTCCTGTCAAATATTGTATTGTAAGCGGTACGAAGTTTACCGGGCCATCTAGTCTCCAGATAAATATAGCATCGACACGTAAAGTAAAAAATTCTTCGATTTCATTGCTTTTCTGAATATTAATCCCCTCTCTATGGACATCATTATTGTTCGGAGGAATATTTTGTAGACTTTCGTTTAGAAATGTAACTGTCATATTTACTGCCAGCTGAAAATTTATCACATGGCGCTACAAATTTATTGATATAGGTAAGCCCTTATTTCATTGGCAGTAGTCGATCTTGGAATAACTTTCACTGTTTGGTGGAAATCTTTAGACAGTAAAATCGTTCTGCCCCCGAAACACCTTAATCTATCTATCTATTTTTTTTTCTAACAATATTCCCGTTATACCAAAAAAGAAACTGCTATCCCGATGTCAGATTCAAGATATTGAAATGTCTTCAGAGTTCTACCGATTCCATCTTATAATAATAACCCGTAAAGCAAATAATAGATCTGGCCCATCCACCGTAACGACGAACATTATGTCATTGCATCTTGCTCATGATCATAATGATGCGGACTACCAATGTCATGTGTCGGTGGGAGAATGGTCAATCGACCACCTTTAGCTGCATCTCCTTCGGTGTTAATTGTATCACGTAATTAAACTCTTCGATCGCAGTTTGGCTTGGTTTTACCGAATGAATGTTAACTGTTTCGTTTCAATTTTGTCGCAAGCGACGCAACGAAATCAATTAAGTAGTTATTGTCGTTTTGACGAATTATTAAACTATAATTATGCGTAATAATTTATTGAGCAGACCTTCTAAGTAGTATTCAGCGGAAATAAAGGTAGTAAAATTATATGTAAGAAGGAAACTTCAAGTCCGTATTCCCCGAGGGAATGGACGGAGCCGTGTGATCACCAAGTCGTCGAAGATTATTTTAGCATATTCAAAAGGGGTTAAAATTGGTTTCCAGTTCTTTGCTCATTTTTTTCCAAAGATAGTTTTTTAGGAAACCAAAACCAAACGCAGTAAGGAATTAAGATTTATGTAATGTTAAAATAAAGACTATGATACTGATAAGTATATCATATTCCTCCTGTCTCCTTGCCAAAACATAAGCATAATTTCTGTCGGTGTTTTAGATTTGTGTTTACTATTTTCCTGCAATTTTTGTTACATTTCTTTATAATTCTAGTTTAACACTGATTTAAGACGTAAGTTGTCAATTGTGGAAGATATAATGTAATTAAAATAATAAAGCGAATAACGTACTTTATCTTAAAAATATTTCTTGCATTAATTTATTTATCGTGAGTTTTTGAAAATTTTATTTTATACAAAGCTTGTCCTGACAAAAACGAACACAACAAAAAAACATTTTTCCAATTTGGTTCTGTAATTTGTAAGTGATGCGCATACATACTTTACGACGATGAATTTTTATATAGGTATATAGATTTAAATCATTCATAATTACAATTATACAATATTAATTATACAGTCATTTAAATTATAAATCATCTCTGCTCTCGGTCTGGAAGGAGGTCTAAGAGCTTACCCATTAAGAAAAAAAATAACGAGTACAAATCAATAAAACCATTTTAAAAAATATAAACTTTTCGATTGTGTTTACATTGTGTTTACTTTGTTTGCCCACGCCCACCTAGCATTTTAAGTTTTGACGGTCTCTAGCTAAAAAAAATGTTACATTAAGTAAAAAGTTATTACCAATGCAGTTTTGAAGACCAACACGGTAGGTAAATAGGAACCAAACCGGCAAATGGGTGTTTTATCTGACATGGCACTTATTTCCTTAACACAATAACAGACCAATTACACTTAAAAAAATCAAGTAGGTTACAGCAATTTTATAGGGTATCAATAAAAAAAGGTCGTAACAAATGTCTGACTTTTCTTATATTTTTTCTTGTCTGAAACTTGTACTGAAAGTTAAGTTTAAGGCAGTACAAGTTTCAGACGAAGAAAGGTAATGAAAGGTAAGCCTGTAATACCAAATGTAACAATGTTAATGAGAAACTTTTTGACAAATCACTTTTAACGTACTTGCTTTGTGCAAAGTTATTTACGTATTTTCTAGGTTCACATCTCATTAACAGTTTTCAAAATAAGTAAAAGATGTGGATATGAGTATTAAAAATATTTTTATTTCATTCAGAGATCATTATTACATCATCGTTAAGTAGAGTCTTCAATTGTTTGATACCGCAAAGTAGAAATTGTATTCAATTTGTGATGTTTAAATATATACAACTTATCATATTAATTTTGGATGAATGCATATGTGTCTAATTAGATATCATAAGTGATTACCCATAAATAGTATCTGATTAAACATACATAAATGCTTATAATTGAAACAACATCTTAGGATGCAGTAGCGGTTGGACTTTATCGTAGAGCGTGTTTAATAAGGATAGCGTCTTCCAGTATTTGCACGGTATCGGCCGGATCTGAAACAAAGTATGTATAATTAACATCAATTTCTAGTGACTTCGACTTCTTGACTATTAGGTCCAGCTAGTAACTTCGTCTTACATGACTTAAATTGGATCCGTTTTTTCCGAGAGAAAACATATTTTCATTAAAATTATTTCTTTAATCATCCTAATCATTTTTCTAACTAAAAATCTAACTTCTAGATTTGTAATAATAGGTAGAATTTAACTCGTATAAGTTAAATTTATATGCTTTAAAGAACATATTTGAAGGCTGCTGCTGCTGCTGTCGCTAATTTAAACACTTTAAAGATGAGCAGTTTAAAGTTTGAATTTTTTGTAAAGAACCCATTTATTAGGAAACTAAATAAATAAATATCCCTATCTTCTTATGTGGAGTTGAATCGTGGACAATTTTGACCCGAGAAAGACAAAGGATTGATGCATTCGAGATGTGGTGCTGGAGGCGAATGCTGAGAATTTCTTGGACCGCGAAACGCACCAATGCATCGATTTTGAGTCAGCTCCGTATAAATACTCGTTTGTCCACTGTATGCCGAGAACGCATCCTATCATACTTCGGCCACACAATGCGCAGGGATGACGGCAATTTGGAAAAATTGATTGTTGTTGGGAACACCGAAGGCAAACGATCGCGCGGTCGTTCACCAACTAGATGGACAGATCAAATAAAAGAAACGTCGTCGTCCAAATTTTATACGGTTGTGAGAGACGCGCTGGACAGAAACCGGTGGAGGCAGATCATCCATTCCAGATGCAACTAGCATGCTGACCACGATCCTCAGTCATGAGGGACCGACCAGAGAGAAAATAAATAAATATATAGGTATTTTTAGACCTTCCTTCTTCATAATACATATGTCGCTATATCGATGATATTAATGTTCAAAAATGCTCGTTTCTTTTTTGGGTTGGGGATGAGTAGTTTAATTTACTTTTACCTATTTTATTAGTGGGAAGCCTAATGTATATAGATACTTTGATTAGGAAAGAAGATAAAGATAAAATTATTGAAGTAAATAAATAGTTCATTGTTCACCGAGCGTAGAAAGTGACCAATTACCAACGAGGGTGTAGTTTGATCTTGAATTTCATGATCTTTTATTATTTTAGTTGATATATTACATAAAAGAAATAGATGTATATTAATGAGCCTTTCGATCGGTATACTAAAATTACTATTTATTTGTTTCTCACATTTCACAGATTTGACACCAGGTTCAGACAGCCGATTTTTTTAAATTCCTGGAAAGCAGTTCGTATTATTAAAAAAAAAATAAAGTTCTTTTTTTCAGTAAATGTTTCTATCTAAAATATTTCAGGTACTTTTCCTCTATTTGTTAAAGTTTTGGGACACCTTGTATATATAAGTCAATATCGCAAAGCTAATGATACTAACCCTGCTTTAAACATATCAGCATTGCCCATCTTAAGCGCGCCACCGCGGCAAGTGTTCAGAGTGATTTGCGTCGAACTGGAGCATTGTCGGCCTTCCAAATGATTGTGTGACACTGTAGCAGCAAACAGCCTCCAGGCGCGGTTATGGGAGCAGATACTCGTAGTTAAACATCCGGGTTGGTTGCTTCCGCCGTTGGGGAAGAAATCAACATCGCCGATGGCAGACCCGATGCCGAGACTTAACATCAAGCCGCCGTCGGTATGCATGCCCTCGACGTAGACTGCATCACTCGATCTGATTCTATTGGAGTTCAAATTCCATAGCGGCCCAGCGGGGTCCAACGCTGTGAAACAAAATATGGAGTGAAAAACTGTGTATCATGCAGGAAATAGTTTTTTTTTACTTTCATTTGATTCTAAATACATGTAATTCGTGCATAATTTTTGGTAACCAATCAACCACATGCGAGCAAAGAATTTTTTTGTTTAAATAAAACGTCAATGATATAATCCGATAAAATATACTAGTGAAAATTCCGCCCTATCCAAAAACAAAACATTTTTTTTGACTTTTTAGGTAATTATTTTAAACGGCCGTCGCGTTTTTATTAAATTGATTGATTGATTATATTTGTTTGCTTGTAGCTCGAAAACGTATAGTATAAACGTATAAAACAGTGGTGTATGACGCGTGCGATACGTGAGTACACGGAAGCCAATCTAAACGAGAATCTCGCTGCAGTCTTTGTTTCCGCGAAGGACATCTTTAAAATAACACATGTCTAAAAGATGCCGTCTATCCTCCAGTGTCAGCATGTTGAGTTGTTAGCTGTTCTCTTTGTATGATATAATAGAGATTCAAGGCCGATAATTCATGTATTTGTCCAATTTCTTTTATTTTATTTTCCAGATATTTTTTGTATTTTTCATATTGACGATTCCATATGCCACTAGCATCATAATCTAGTCCGCTTCTAACAATTGTATAGTAAACTGCCTTTATAGCGGCAGTGTCATGGAAAGGCTTGCAAGTACGAATAACAAACCTAAGGTTCTTAAATCCTTTATTAGCAATGGTTTCAATATGCTTTTTAAATGTCAATTTACTGTCAAATAGAATGCCAAGATCACGAATTACAGTGTACCCTTCGATGGAAGTACCATTGAAGTTGTAAATGTGCGTTAAGGTGTCCTGTAAGAGTATAAAATAGAATTCTGTAAGCTTTAACTCTATGGATTTTCAACAAGAAATCTATTTCAAAAATATGTGGCAGGAAAGCCGCATAAGCTTGCAATTAAATGAGATTTTTCTGGTCTGTGACCTTTTAATTAATTTTGTGATAATTAATACGTACCACTAATGCGAGCAACCCTTCCTCCGACTTCTCTTCCGGCGTTACCGACAAGATGAGCTCCTAAGCTGAAGCCAACCAAATGCATTCTGCTGAAAGGCACGCCAGTTCTGGAGTTAAGGAAGTTCAAGAAGTATCCTAATCTTCGTCCAGTCAGCGGCACTCCACGAGCAGCAGTAACGTAGTTACGTCTGGCAAGACGACCCCAGTCAAGAACGATTACGTTGTAATTGCCCACACTGAGGAATGCTGTGGAAAAATAAATCAATGTCAATAAGTAATTATATTGTTAATTCTCTAGCATTGATAATAATTATGTAGCCTTTAATATTTTTTTGTAAATAGGTGTCAGTTAGCCTTTGTAATGCATTAAAACATAACTTATCCCCGTTTCTTAGAAAATAAAATAATATCCCAATTATAACAACAGTTTTTAATGTCATATTTTGATGCCTAAAACTGTTTTGATATCAATTTAATTTTGTTCTTCATATACATACATCATTCAGAGAAGCTCGATGGCGCAGGTGGAAAGTGTGTTTGGCCTACTATCGTGGAAGATAAGCAACGCAATGGTATTGCCATTGGATGAGTGACCCAAAACTTATTGTCTAGAGCTTCTCTGTGTTTCGGGAGTCACTTTAAGCCGTTGGTCCTGTCTGTATCTACAGTCGTTAGCAACCACCAAGTGGTCATGGCTCAATATTCCTATTCCATCCATATTGAAGGCCTATGCCCCAGCAGTGCGGACATTAATGGGCTGGTGATGATGATGATGATTTGCCTTATTAAAATATTTCGAACAGTATCTTTCTGCTTTTTATTTTTATGCTGTAGCTTTCTTTGCAATCAGACTCCACTTACATTTTTTACCAAGTTGATTAAAGTAATAAGGCCTCTATTAATTAATAATTAATGATCTAGTTAAATCTTAGATATTAATAAAGTTATTACCATCTCTGATGGCTGGATTTAAGCCAGATTCTTGGTTGCTAATCCATCCATGAACTACGAATACAGTGATATGATTGTGATTGAAGTTGGACTGGCTGATGGTGCCAGCATCGCCGTTGATAAGTTCTTGGCTTGTTGTTGGGTTATTCCTGTGTAGGCATAGCGTTGTATTAAACAATTGAATTTAAACAGTACCAACTTATTACAGTAATTGATAGCTTAATCATTTTTCGTAAGAGTGTTTGCTCGGGAGCTAAGTGAAAACACAGCAAGAAGTTGATTCCGAGCGAATGTTTAGAGCAAATGTTCGTTCGACGTTGCGTTGTTACCATTGAAAGATTAAGCGAGCGAGCATTCATTAACTGAGTTCAGCCAATCATCAGCTGAAGTCAGTGAATAAATGAACGGCGGTCATTCAATTTTAGTCAATTACAGAGTCAATGGCCTTAGTAAAAGTTTATTAACTTCCGCAATAATTGCATCGCAACTAGAGCAGTTCCAATGAGCCACCACGCGGGCTCAATTTCATTGGTGAGTGTTAACGACTACATAATATGCAGCTGGGACTTACGGCTTAACGTGTCTTTCGAAGCGCGATAGACCTCCATAATTATAAATTTTTGGTCACCTGTCCCAATACCGGCTGCCCAAAAGTTGCTTTGCTTACGCGTCACTGGCTGAACGCTTTTGCTACTATGCTCTTTAGAAGAGCATTATAATAAACTTTAAAGATAGTAAGTGCGACAATGCAAAGAGATGGCGCTGCCTTTCAGCCTAAGAAATACTAGAAGAAATTCGACTCGGTCGGCCATTAAGGTCGTGGTAGCATAATTGGTCAGTGCATCCGCCCGGATAGCGATTCGAGTTTTATCTGCTTCCTCGACCACGTAGAATTTTTTCTTGTAATTTTTTCTTTAGATTTTACATCTAATAGTTAAATGCTTAAAAAATATAATAAGTTATTAAATGGTTTAGAACTGAGTACCTACCTTGTGAAAAGGAAGTATCGATTCATATCATTTTTGTCTAGTTCCTCTAGAAAGTCCTCATCAGGTTCTTCCTCTGTGTCAACAGTTTGCTCTACGCCAGCTTCATCTATGAAGGTGATGTAACGTGCAGTCGGTTTCACATCTGACTGCGGAGCTGCGGACACGCAGCAAGCTGGAAAATTAAACACCAATGCTGAGTAAATGCCTAAGAACATTTATGTCTACCTTGAGTATCACTTCTTATCTTTGCTATTTGTATGACTCCATTATTTAAGTTTCAAATAATATTGGAGAAAATAAACATTGTCCAATATCTAAATGTACCATTCTGTATTAAGCAAATAAATGTTCATTTCATTTCATGATCCTTTCATTTCATAGATTTGTTTTATTTCAATATAATCAGGTCCAAACAATGCAAACTTTTAATCCTATAAGCGATAGGTCCCATTCGTAACTTAAATCTTTACGCACTAATATTGTAATGTAAAGAAAGAAACAATTTACACATGCGTTTGAATCACACACACAATAACTACAAAGGTCAATAATTTCAGCCATCGTTCGTCCACTAGTTTTCGATAACCAAACAAACTGGAAAATAAACTTACCAGCTACAACCGCAAGGAGAAACAATGTCAATTTCATCGTTAACTGCCTATGGTCTATTAGCCACTCTGAGCTGATTAACTTCACGCTTTGTATTTATAAGGCCATCTTGCAAAAAGATATCAAAATCTTATCGTAGTAGCAAATCAAGGAGCGACATTAATACTAATTGCGTAAAATAATTGCAATACTACGTAATCATTGATAATAATTAAGTCAAAGACCGCCTTAGGTATAACAGGATTTAATTTTTATTATGATTAATGTTTTGTTATTGCTTTTGCGGCTATTGATATTGGGGCTTACACACTGAGTGTCATCCGGTGCATGGTTGCCACTCGACCTCTCCACCCCAACAGCCAACAGTTCACCTCGATAAGTATGTGTCCCAATTTAGCTGTAAAATCCTTCAAACAGTATCTGAAATTTCTCGTGGATTTCATTCCTTATATCGAAATCAATGCTGAGCATTCAACGCTCTTTCCATTGCCCACTTGAGCCTTCTTATGACAGGGTTCTCATCACCTAGGTTAGCGAAACGTGGCAGTTAACACCCATAATAAACGACAACGTTTCGCTTCCGTAGGTCATCACTGGTAATATACACTGGAGACACTGAGGAAATTTGGGCGTGAAGATTTGGCGTGGCTTCCCAAACACTTCGGACCGGAGATCTGGTTTGATCTCCGTTGGAAGAAAGAAAAAATTTTTGTTGATCTCATGATAGAGCAGAAAGGCAACTATGAAACTCTGTAAACGATGCAACCTTATCGAGTTTGGAAATTATCCTGACAAATAACTCCGGCTCTTAAACATCAACCCCCTTATTAATCAACGAAAATTAAGCTTGGATTAGTTTCTGTTCGTTGAATGACAAATGATATTTGAGTGATATGAACAAAACATGGAGTAACTAGTCTGAGTTTATTCCTCATTTATTAATAAGGCAAAAGTTTGCTTCCAATTTTCTTTTGCATTTTTGTATTGTCTCATAATAATACACTCCCGGATACATCTATCGGCCCACTTAAGTTTCAACAGTCTTCAGAAAAATATATATTAGATGGAGCATTAATAACATATTTTTAGAAACATACGAAGTAGATTAATAAATCAGCTTTTAAACTGCATTAAAAAAGAAATCTCAATAATCCAAAATTAAAATGCTAGGTGGGCCGATAGGTACGTCTGGAAGGAGTTTCTTTTGTTTAATTAATCAATCATAGTTATAATCACAGAATATTCTTTACTTTACGGATCTGGTCTTCGTAGTCACCATAATGATAATAAAGGCACATAATCTAATATAATTAATGGATTTAGCAAGATTATCCTGCGGACGCTTGAAACCGGATTTTTATTATTTCAGATAAAACAACTGTGAATTGTTGGCTAAAGAATTGCAAGAAGAATGTACCTACATGGATTTTCTAAATTTACCAAATTGAATATTACTATATTTATTTCATTTTATGCATTAAAGTAACTGATACATGTTTAAATCTATAGAAAATATTACTAAATCCACTCTGTCCAGGTTACAGATGGGATTCGAACCCGCATCTTCCGCTATGCAGACGGATTATTTAGCTTCTTTGGATTTTTACCTAATTGAAGTTTCTAAAAAAGCATTACCATTAATTGAAATTTATTTTTATTTACGACCTCCGTGCCTCGAGTAGTATGTACGCCGGTTTTCAAGTTATCAAATGTTTGTGTGATGAATACGAGCAATTGTACCTATGTAAGTCATGAATGTTTCATATATATTGCAATCTATAATATAAAAATGAAACGCTGAATGTGTTGCTAAGCGCAAATCTCGGGAACAGCTGAACCGATTTCGATAATTCTTTTTTTAGAATATTCCTTGAAGTATGGGGATGGTTATTACGAAAAAAAATGCCTTAAAAAGTCCAAAAACAGCACTTTTCTATACTCCCATACAAACGATTCGTAATAATACTTAAAAGTCAATTTGAACTTTAATACCATACCATAAATTTCAAATGTTAATGGAGAGGTTCCGGGAAGGCAAAACAATTGAGTGACGTGATGTCAATAACAGTTTGGAAAAGGCAAATATACCATTTTCAGTTTTTTTTAATAATTATATGAAATCATTATAGTCTACACTACAGCTCTACACCGAAGCGAAGCGAGGGCGGTCCAGAAGTTCTATATAAATATAGTCATATATGTATTATATCCGTTGTCTTTGTATCCCATAACACAAGCCTGAAGTGCTTACTTTGGGGTTAGACAAATTTGGTATGAGTGTTAATTGACTATTTTATTTTCTAAGATGAATTTAAATTATTGACTTTATATCTAAAAAAACCCCTATTTTTTATATAATCAAGAAATTCATTAAATTCAAGCAAGTCTAATGTTAGTATCATCAAATCATCTATGATATAAAAAATATTTTGCCTATGAAAATACAAAGGAGGACTTTACAAAGGAGGAGGTCAATCGTCGACTGTTTTATGTTTATTTGTTTGTTACCCGATTCCTCCGTCAATTTAGGCCCGGTTTTCAAACTTCTTTTTGTTATCTCAAGGGTCAAAGTGATCTCATACGAAAATTTATATGTCTTACATCGCCTTCGGAGATGTGGAACGGAACTCTGCGTAGGATCATATCAGAACAGGTGTAATAAGTAATATTGTTTTCTTTATACATGTAGTCGATATCTGAGGAGAAGTAGAAATGATGAAGAGGAGGGGGGGGGGGTTATTTCTTCGATAACTTTTAAAGATTAAATAGGTATCGTTTAAACGAGCCTTTTATAAGGATTTACTTGATGTTGCTCGGGCTTGTAAAAGGTACAACATATAAACTTTTTAACAAAAATAAAACCGACTACAAAAAACAAAACCACTAAAAAGTTTTCATTTTTGTTAAAAAAGTGTTTTATATTATGATTTTGTCTATAATGATGATCGATTAGGATAACAGTAGGGATTCTGTCTTCTGCGTAAAGGGCAAAATACATACCCTGAGAATTATATTTGTACGATTATATGTGTTTCCCAGCCATGGTTGTTTATATAATATTCAATTATGTTAAAAATAGACTGTTCAGTGCTTTAACTGATTTGTAAAAAAACTCTTATCTGGCCAAAACTTCGGCGCGGTATGAAATTCCATGATACATCAAAAGTTCCGTGGTTACAATAATAAGATAAGAAACATATTTTTCAACCTTTGATGATACATACATATTTCAGTATGAAACAACATGCTAGTCTACTTTGAAAAGTACTAGATATTAATAACTCTTTTAAAAAAAGAAAATAAATGCGGTCCTCACTCTGTTTTCAAAGTGTTTTATCGGTCGAGCCTACCCAATTAACTCATTACGCCATCGTTGTAATATCTTGATAATGTAGTATTGATAGCAAAATTTTAATATCAGTCTAAAAAAAACCGGCTATGTGCGAGTCGGACTCGCCATGAAGGGTTCCGTAGCAGCACGTAACATATTATAAAACCTGCCCCCTGCGCGCTCTGCACCCGCTACTGATCAAGCCACGCCCCGCGCGAATTATAATTATTATTTACTTAGGCACCTATAACAGATTTATTATTAGAAAATAATGGTTCACAGTTCACGTTTATGTTTATGAAATGAAATGTTTTATTTTTTATTTATATATTTGAGTTGATTGAATGAAAGGTAAATAGCGGTTTACGATTTATGACGTATTAAAAAAAACGACTTACTAGATCTTGTTCAAACTAGTTTTCGGTGGAAGTTTGCATGGTAATGTACATCATATTTTTTTTTAGTTTTATCATTCTCTTATTTTAGAAGTTACAGGACGGGACACACATTGTACCACTTTGGAAGTGTCTCCCCCGCACACTATTCAGTTTAGAAAAAAAAATTAGAAACCTCAATATCATTTTTGTAGACCTATCAATAGATACCATACACGTTTGGGTTTGATGAAAAATTTTTTTTTGAGTTTCAGTTTTAAGCATGGGGAACAAAAATATTATTGTTTTTTTTCTATATTTGTATGAAAATCTTAATGCGGTTCACAGAATACATCTACTTACCAAGTTTCAACAGTATAGTTCTTATAGTTTCGGAAAAAAGTGGCTGTGACATACGGACGGACAGACGGACTCTACGAAACCCTAAAAAAGTGTCACTCAAAAATGGTGTTTGAATCCTTAATAGTTAAAGAGGATAATTATTTATTTAGTATTTTGATATAATAGTTACGGAGATTTCTAAACATTAAATAAAAATATATATAAATATTTTAAGTGTAAGTACAAGCTGTTAAGAAATAATATTTTTTATGGGTAACATTTATTATTCGTCCAATCGAAATTCTTGATATAAGTATGTGTAGTTATAGCTTTATTTAACACAACAGAAAATATAAAACCGTGCAACAATTGGCGGTCTTATCGCTATCTCTTCCAGACAACCTTAGGAATCTAAGACTTCAGATTCTGTTGGTCTTTAGTTTAAAGGGAAACATGAAATTCTCGGCTGATGATCCTAGTCAACCGTATATCAATAATAGATAAAAAAATAGATAAAGAAACATCAAAACTTGAAGACTCAGTTGATGCTAAATCGTGTATTGAAAATAATAGGTGCTGACGCGAAGTAGCGTTTTACGTATACTATAATTGAAATAGGGTAAATTAATGCACAGGGGATATTTTTACAGTATAATGTACAGAAGTATACGATGCTGATAAATCATTTACACGATCGCAACATTGATGATTGAACTGGGAGATATATTATATGAGTAACTTTATGATATTTCATATATTTCTCTAATATATCTCTCTCTTATGTGTTATGTTTAACATATATAATAAATATACAACTTTAAATCTTTGAAAATCCTAAACAGTCGTATAAAATAAAAATTTGTGTGAGGAAACTAAACATGACTGTCAATAATCTAGACAATGAATCTGCTCCACTCGACATATTTCGTCAACTATTTTTTTTACTTTGTCATAATATGGCGCCTAATTGTCCTTATATTGAATTTTGATTA